GGGGGCCCGAGGGAGGGCCGCGCACGGGCCAAGAAGCCAGTGGATCGACACCGGGTACACATAAATTTTGGACGCTCCGCCCCGGCACACGTAAAACACGGAGGGTGTGAGGCAGAGGGCAGGGGCGATCGATAAGCACAGACGAAAAACAGACGGGCTTCGAACGGCAAAGTTTTTTTTATAATTAAAAAAAAAATGTTAACCAAGTGGCTTAAGAAAGACGCAAACCATAGGCGCAGACGTAAAACGCATTGGGTTCGAGCCGCAGCACGAAGGCAATCGGTAGGAACATATGCGAGCGCACGCGGAAGACCCCAGGAAGGGGGCAATGCATTGGCACATGTGTAAATACACGCACATAGTCGAGCCACAGTGCAGGGGCAATCGATTGGAACATGCAAAAAACTATGATTTCGAGCCACAAGAAAGAGACAATCGATAGGAACATGTATAAAACGCATGTGACTCGAACCACAGCAGGAGCAGACGATGGATGCACTACATAGATATAAGTGTGCACACACGTATATATATATATATATGTGCGTGTATGTATGTAAGTGTATATATATATATAAACACGGAGGTCGAGCCACTGGAGAGGGGCGGCATTCAGGGACGCATGCAACGCGCATTTCATTCGACCCCCACGGAAAGGAGCAACCGATAGGAACACAAGTAAAACAAATAGGGCTCGAGCCAGTGGAGACAGGCAATGCGCAGGAACATGCGGAAGGGAAACTCAATAATTTTGAACCCCAGGAAATAGGGCGGCATTTAGGAACATACCTATACGACCACCCTTCAAGTGATAAGGGGGTTCCGGGGGGGGAGGGGCCAACGTCTCATTCGATCGGTTCCACTATCGATCTCACAATTTCACATTCGGTCTCACGACCGATTTCACTATCGATGTCACAGGCGATGTCACAAGCAACGTCATCATCATCGTCATCCACGTCACCAACATCATCATCATCGGGACACCATCATCATCATCACCTCATCACCATCATCATCAACACCATCATCATCGGCATCATCACCATCATCATCATCATTATCGGGACACCATCATCATCATCGGAACACCGTCATCATTTTCAGCATCTCAACATCATGAACAACAGCAACATCATCATCAGCACCATCACCGGGACAATATCATCATCATCATCACCTCATGGAAGTTGTACGTGAATGATCTATGCGCGCTCGTAATTAGTTGTTCGGCTCAAAAGCATGAGGCCAGAGGTTGGCGTCGGTCTCCTCATTGTTGGACTTGCGAGGGAGGTCAACTCGCTAGTTTCACTTCCCAGTCGACACCTGTGCTCAGATAGTTTCTGTGATTGCCGTCTGGTTTCGGAGTGTCCGAGGACGGCCAACTGCGTGTGTCCGCGCACGCAGGCGCGGCAGCCCTTGCGTGGGAGCCGCCCGATTTCTTCGCCAGGACGTGCTTCGTTACCCCGCGGACGCGGACGTTTCCCTTGACAATGCTGGCCTCTTGGAGGTGTTACTCGGAGCAGCGGCGGGCGGTCTACTTTCTCGGCTTTACGGTCCTCGTCGTGTTGCTGCCTCTCTTCGTGGAGGTTTCGGTCGCATCGAACAGCGATGGCGGGGGTCGCGGTAGCGTCGCCAGGAGGCTATGACATCTACTGGCACGAGGGGTGCTTCTACAGGCATGGCCGGATTTTGCTGACGGGTCTCTGGATGACAAAAGTCTCTGGGAGGGGCCCGCACCTGTTATCTATGTCTGCGAGAAGGGGTGGACAGCCACTGGAGATCGCGGGCCGATCAGAGTTGAGGTTGAACCCTGGGACAAGTTCTCGGAGCTGAAGGCCAAGGTGTCGCAGGTCGTCGAGTTCGATGGGCTCGAGGAGACGTCGCACGTGAGAGTGCAGGGCGACCATTTCGTGTGGTGCGTTAGCCGCGACTTCGCCAACTTGGGTTCGGTCGTCGCGGCGCTCGAGTGTTTCAAGGTGGATGGTTCCGACGGCTACTTCGCGGGTCGCAAGCTCCCGCTCTTGACGGGCCTGGGTGCTACTCACACGCTCGACGATCGTGATGGAGGCCCTAGCTCGCCAGCGAGGCGCTGCGCCCTGCTGGGGGATTTCGCGGGCCTGCAGCTCCCAGGAACAGGTGAGGAGCCGGGCAAGACGGGGACGGAGGACGCGAGCACGCTTGCGGAAAAGTCCAATGTTCTCACCCGCAGGGCGCGCGTCTGGACGGTCTCGGGCAAGGAGACGGTTGGGGGCACCTTCCTGGTCTGTTCAGTGAATGATGTTCGTGCTCTCCTATGGTTGAGGGGATTGTGCCCACGTTCTGGTTCGCTCGCCATCACCTGACGGCTGATTGGTGTGAGAACGATCGCTCTTCTCAAGAGGTTCGGGATATGGCGGGGGCGTTCGAGCTAGCCGCCTCGCGCGTGAGCTCGGTGCGAAGAGGGCAATCTGTACCAGAGGCTCATGGTAAGGACCCACTTATCCCGATCTACGAGATGGCCGACAAGTTCTTGTGCTACAATTGCCTACGTCAGCCTGCGGCGCCTGCGCTCTACGCCTACGTGGCCAAGTCGGTGCGAGAGTGGGCGGAGATCGACAGGCATATCAGCAAGGACGGGGCTTTGAAAGACGAGGCGGAGGTTGCCCTCGAGCGCGGCATGACCGCAGGGAAGGGCAAGGACAATGAGGAGGGCAAGGATGAGTGAAGGATGAGTGACGCCTCCACCCTTGCCAGCAAGACCAGAGATAGCGTTTGCCGCAGTCGCCGCGCAGTAGGCGCGTTGACAGGCGAGAGTGATGCGCAGGGAGCACGACGGGTGCCACTGTTTCCGCTCGAGTTTTGTAGCTACTCGGCCCCTTCGCCGACGCGTCTCTCGAGGGGGTGCAGGCGGAGGGTCAACCTCCGGAGCCATCAAATGCGGGAGTTCGGGGAGGTCCTGACAGGCCTCAACCGGTTGTATTCCCGAGCTTCGAGCCCACTCGTTCGCCAAGAAGTGGCGAGTGAGATACACGATTTTGTTGCGGGTCGGGTTGCCCAACAGCCGCCTGTGCCGCCTTTTTTGAGCAAGGAGGGGGCCGTGCGCGAGCTCCTCCAGAGCAAGTGTGGTTACGACCACGCAGCCTCCACTGTCGTCGAGTTCGATCGAACCCTTGTCTCGCTGCCCGAAGGGGTCCAGGACAGAAAGCCACTTCAGGACTTGGTCTCCCAGGAGGACAGGGAGGCGGTGGTGAACTTCAAGGAGAGCATGATGAGAGATGTGAAGGAAGTGATGCAGGTGAGAGACTATGGCGAGTGTATTAACCCGTATTTTGATCAGAAGCTTCGCACTCGACGGCACGAGCACGTTCGCTTTTTAAAGATGTTGCACAGGCATGGTCTGATTAGGTGGTCGACTACGCCCAAAGAGATTGCCACCCCGTTTTTCGTTCGTAAAAAGGATGGGAGACAGCGACTTATCATCGATGCGAGGCGTACTAATCAGCTCTTCCGAGACCCTCCGAGTACTCTGTTGGCCACGCCCGAGAGTTTCGCCCGCTTGGAGGTGGAGGAAGGTGTTGAGCTGTATGAGGCCTCTCTCGACGTGGACAACTGCTTCCACCGGATAGGTATAGACAGCGACTTGGGCGATTACTTTTGCCTGCCCCCCGTTCGAGCACGAGAGCTAGGGCTAGCACATGTTCGGGGACGGGAGATTCCTGGAGACGGGCTTGCGTGGGCCGCCATGGCCGTGCTCCCCATGGGCTTTTCGTGGTCTGTCTTCTGGGCCCAGCGTATCAATACTCGCTTGGTAAGGGAGGCATCTGGGATGGAAAGCTCAGTGGCGGTGGAGGACAGGGGGGGCGGCCTCGTCATAGGTAAGAACTCCGCGCCCGTCTTTTACGTGCATGTGGACAACGTGGGGGTCTTGGGAGCTGACAGGACAGCGGTCCAGAAGTCCCTGGATAACATCAAAAACGCCCTTAACGCTAACAAGATGCAGTGCCACGAAGTTCAGGAGGCCGGGCAGGTTAGGGATGCTCTTGGGATCGAGTTCAACGGAAAGCTAAAGTGTTTCAGGCCTTCGGGAAAGCGATACTGGAAGATTCGTTTGAGTCTGGAGGCGTTTTTGGAGGCGCCCAAGGTACTTGGAAAAGCTCTCGAGGTGCTCCTGGGACATTGTACCTACCTCGCTATGCTACAGCGTCCTCTATTCTCCTGCTTCGCCTCTGTCTACAAGTTCGCCCGGAGGTACCGTCACTCTTGGGCCCCACTGTGGGCGACTGCGCGAGAGGAGCTCGAGGCGTTCCTCTACCTCATGCCCCTTATCCGTTCGGACTGGTATCGGGGCTGGCTTGGGAATGTGTTAACTTACGATTCCTGACCCGAGGGTGCGGGGGCTCGCGTTGCTACTAGGTCTTCTGCCTGGGCTGCCGCTCAGGGGAGAGTCCAAGAGAGAGCTAGATTTGTTCGTCGTGACGCTGCGCAGGCTCGTGGGCACGCGCTCTCTTGCCTCGACCCTGATGACCCGCTTGTGTTCGTGACGCCACCGCTGTCTCTCGAGGACGTCCCGGAGCTCTGGGAGCAAGATTTTTCGTTTCCCGAGGTACCGCTCGAGGGGCTTGTGGGGAAAGATTTGAAGGTGTTTTTCTGTCATTCCTGGAAAAGAAAGATGACTGTACATGAAGGAGAAGCCAGAGCTGGAGTCCTTGGGATCGCTAACGTCGCTCTGGAACCTGGAGTTCATAGTTGTCGCCTTCTGGCGCTTGGGGGTAACCTCGGAGTCACGCTCAGCTTTGCGAGATCCAGGGCACGTGCTTTTCCTCTTCTGGTCCAGGTTCGGCGAGCTTCGGCGCTGTCGTTGTCTCGTAACCTTTTCGTGGGATTCAGATGGGTCCCGAGTGAGTTCAACAGCTCCGACAAGCCTTCGAGGGACCCTGGTCTGCGGCGAGGGGATGCAGTCGAGTTGAGCGTTACGCCTGGCATATGTCGTCTCGCTCGAGGCCAGCAGGGCTCCGTAGCCGTTTCGGCCAGAAATGAAGTTCCACAATGCTCTACTTCTGTATTGGATTGGGCTCGTCATGTCCTTGGTGAGGAATGCGAGGAGAGCAGCGATGACGGACGAGAGGGAAGTTCAGGCGCCTCGTTGGCAGACGGACCTCTGGCCACCAGGAAAGAGGTGGCGAGCTACTCTACAACGGTATCGCGATCGCCCCTCCCCGCCAGTGCTGTCGGACGAGGCGGAGGAGAGGGCCAACCGTCTGGGCGCTTCGGGCGGCACGACCTCGGAGGAGGATGGCAACCCGTTCGTGCAGGTTCGCATGCTGGAGTGCGAGCCCCACCATGCGAGGATGGCAAAGGTGCCAGGTACGCAGCGCGTTTTGGTTCCAGAAAGAAGCTCGGCAGGAGAACGAACCTGGACACAACGTCGAGATCCATATCAAAGCCTGGTCGCATACGTCGACGGACGGGGTGAACACCGACAGAGTGCAGGACTTCAATGTGGCCACCTTCGACTTCATGACCCACAGGTGCATGCTGGGCTACGACGCAAGCATCGGCCAGAAGTTGATCGAGGCCTTTTTGTTCTACCAACCTCGTCTCGGCGGCCCGGGCTCGCCGACGATGGGAGTCGACCCTAGGTGGCGCGGGCACGCACACAGGTCAGACCTCCACCCGGGCTCGAAGTTCCGCCGCAGTTCCATCTCATGGAAAACTCAGCGCTCTGACTGTATGGCCAATTTTCTTCAGATTCTAGCCGTCGTGACAGATGACAGCTTGCGGCATTTTACTCATCGTGAAAGTGTGAGATTTGGCATGCAAGGCCGACCGTTCGGCCAAGACACGGATAATTACCAGGTACGCCTACAGGTTCTTCCTGGACATATATCAAAGCATCGCAACCGTTACTTCATGCAACGTCGTGTATTTTGGATGTCTACCAAAAGAAGTGCAGCGCTGTAAGAAGTCATGCATGATGATGATGAAAGACTACGCTCGGCTTCCCCCGGCGCTGCACTGCTGGTTGGAGGAGCAGTTGAACACGCTGAATAGATCGACTCTGTGAGGCCGCGCAATGCCGCCGCTGTCGCCGCTCTCTTGCAGCGCCCATGCCAAGCGTGTGCTGCGCCTCCCAACGCAGCTGAATAGGTGACACATCATGTTATGGGTGATATGGGTGAGATTTGAGCCGCCGTGCCTCTGCTTACCCACGCTCGTGCGCAGTCAGACTCCTGACGGCTCTGGCATCAGACACTAGGAAACTGAGAAACAGAGCGCGGGGGGGATCATGGAAGTTGTACGTGAATGACCTATGCGCGCTCGTAATTAGTTGTTCGGCCCCCCGTGGCCTAACCAAAGCCATTATTTCCATTCCTTCATATCGGGTGAGATTTGAGCCGCCGTGCCTCTGCTTACCCACGCTCGTGTGCAGTCAGACTCCTGACGGCCCTGGCATCAGACACTAGGAAACTGAGAAACAGAGCGCGGGGGGGATCATCACCATCATCATCATCATCGGGGGACACCATCATCATCGTTACCATCATCACCATCATCATCATCGGGACACCATCATCACCTTCAACATCAACATGATCATCACCATTACCGGGCCACCATCATCAAAATCATCATCCTCATGTCGTCATCACCCTCATCATCAATATCATTATCATCCTCGGGACACCAGTATTGCCATCATCCTCAACATCATCTTCGGGACACCTTCAGCATCATCACCACCAGCAACAGCATCATTATCAACCTCATCATCATTCACATCATAATCATCGGGGCACCACCATTCTCATCATCATTATTTCATCATTTCAGCAGCATCAGCATCATCATGGTCATCAACATCATCAGCATCATCAGCATCATCATCATCATCGGGACACCAGCATCACCAGCAACATCATCATCATTAATATCAGCATCACCATCGGGACACCATCATCATCAACACCATCACCATTATCATCTTCATCATCATCATAAACATCGTCAACATCATCATCAACATCTGGACACCACCATCATCACCACCATCACCATGATGATCATCATCAACATCATTAGCTTCAGCATCATCATCAGCATCACCATCATCTTCATCTTCATCGGGACACCGACGGGACACAGGCGGGACACCGCGCCCCACCGGCCTCCAGAAAGGAAACATTTGGTCCGGCCGCGCCTCAGCCAGAGGAGAGTTTCGTCTCGCCCGCCCACGCAGCTTCGCCTCGTTCGCACGCGCAGCACGCACGAACACGAAACCGAAACCGATTTCCCGGTATGGGGGGCTCTTCGTTCCACTTCGATCTCACCCCCTCATCTCCGACGTAGAAGAAACAGGATTTCAGCCACAGTAGCGGGGCAATCGATATGCACATTTGTAAAGCACACAGCATCGGCAGTCTGCTGGGCCGCCGCCGAGCCTGGGAGACGGGACCCCCCCGTCTTCATTTGCGGAGCCAACGCGCAATGGTGAGTCGCCTTTCTGGGCCGAAGCGAGCCACAACGCCGTAATGAACGCTGGCGGGCCGCGCTGCCGGCAGGTTCTGGGCCGCGCCGCCGGGCCGGCGAAACGCCTCCCCCCGGCCCCCCTCTGGCGCCCTCCCCCCGCCGCAGGGTGCCTCGCTAAACGTGGCGGACAGCGTGTGGAGCTCAAAAAAAAGGCTCTCGTTCGACCTCTTAGCGAAACGCTACTAAGGAATGAGTTGGGTTGTTTCCCCGAGGCCAGAAGAGGCCCTCTCACATCTCGCGACCCCGCCCCTGAACCCAGAGGGAGGAACCATGGGGGAGGGGTCTAAATAACCCCCCCCCCGCACGCACGCTGTCTCGTTCACTCCCACCCGCCCCCCCGACCCAAAACTAGCACAGGGGGGTGCAGGCATGAACTGCCATAGGGGGGTGCACAATCCTCGGGCGGGCGCGCATAGAATGATGGCTCAGGCATTGAATGCCGCGCGGGAAGTGCACCATCCTCGAAAGCGCACGCGCGGAATGGAGGTTCAGGCATTAGTTGCGATGCGGGAAGTGCACAGTCTTCAGCTGGGCGCGCATGGAATGAGGGCTCAAGCCTTGGGTGCCGCGCGGGGCACGAGGGAAGTTGCCTTGGAACGGAGGGGCAGTGCACGCAAAAGTCAGGTGGTAGACTGGAGGGCGGAGACAGACATTGGCATTGCTCCACGCCTCAACGTGCCAGAGGACATGGTGGCGGAGTCAGAATAGTCATGACGTAACATGTATAATAGCATGACCGTGAAAATACGAGCATGCACCATCAGGAATGATGCCAACAACGCTGGAATAAGAAGGGCAGCGGCGTTGGCAGGAAAGCGAAAAGGTTCCCGGCGTTCAGCAGACCCGCCAGGCCCCCTCCGCGAGCGGCCGTCGAGCTGTGAGGGCAGGCGCGCGGCCCCGCGGCGAGCAGACACCTCCCCCCGCTTGGGCGGCCCACGAGGCCTCCCGCCCAGGCAGCGGAGAGCCTCAAAAGAGTGGCGGCAGCGGCCGGCGGCGGCGGCCGGCGGCGGCCGGCGGCGGCCGCCCGAGGGGGCAGGAGGGGGGAGGAGGAGGAGGAG